GCTTCACTAGAAATGCTATTTTCACATACATTTCCAATTCCTGCTCCAGCTCCAGCTCCGGTTCCACTGCCAAGTCCAATTCTAGACTTAAGCGGACCATCTTTTTTTAGTTTACTTTTACCCTGAATTGCAGGATTATTACCAACCCCACCTTCGCGGAGTATTCCAACTTTGCTGTCGCACATGGCCTCATCTCGTTCTCCAAAACCACTTGTTGATGGTGTGACAGTTTTAGTCGCTCCTTTTAATCTTCCTCTGGCTTCGCCCTCAATTTCATCCTCGGACTCGCTTTTCAGTACAAATAAAACGTTCATTTCACCTTTGCCAGAAGGAGCAAGTTTGCCAGCACAGCAAGAGCTACACTTGCTTGCAGCCCGATTCTTGTATTGGCTATTGCTTACCCTACCCTCAGCAATATTGTGAGAAGAGGATTTTTGTGGTTGGCTTGCATCAGCAATGAATGCTTGGTTGTCACTACCAGAAGCCGGACTGTTGGCCAACACCAGCAACTTGTTGGGTTGTGCTTGCTTTTCTATCGACAGCACGGGCGGTGGCAATGTGATTGACTTGTCCGATTGCCTAATGAGTGCAAGATGACGCGAGTGGATGGTATCCACCAGACGGCCGAGGTAGTCTTGATCAGACAATGGGGGGCCAAGATTGGACCTCATGGCCCGAATGACTTGGCCAGAATTCTTCGGCACGTGGTGAGAAGGCATATTGCGCGACACATAAATTGGTTCAAATGGCAGATTGATACGTGTCGGCTGTAGCCCTTTTGGCTTCGGGCATTCTGGTGGGGCCACCTCGATCTCGTGGCGTGGCAGACCGACAGCCGTCAAATTGAGCAGGGAGGCACTGAAGTGTTTTGTCTTTATTGAGTCAGGCAGACGCTCCAGGTGGAGCTCAGACTGGTTTGGTCTAATTGCCGCATAGTGCAGCTTGAGAGCAATCTTCTCGTAGATCTTGACGATCTTTTGGTCATGCGTGTGTGGATCACGCTGGAGCAGGTGACGGATGTACTTGTCGTCGTAGCGCGTCATCAACATTCGGAAGGCGTTGCGGCCACGCGATCCAGTAATGCCCTCGAGTCCAGCAAGGGTGTGGCCCAATAGAACCTCATTGAGCTCGGTGAACAGACTCAAATCAGGGGCCTCGTGCATTCGTATCTTCAGGAGACGGACGAGTGGTTTCATTGTCAGACCCATAATAACAACGGTGAAAAGGATGATAAAGAGTGTAGCAGAAATGAATATGCCTTGCAGGGCCTTGGATTTTATGAGAACTGACAGTGAAAAGGCGACCGCTCCCCGGAGCCCACCGTACACGATCATCATCTGTTCAACCATGGAGATCTTGAAGCCGCCCACGTGAACCCAATTGATTATGCCCGTGAGAAAGAGTACTACAACCAGCCGCGAGACGAGGCAGATGATGAGAGCCCAAAAGTTAAAGGGCATGTTCCAAGTGATGTTATCACGCAACAGCTCAATTCCTAGAAAGAGAAAGATGACCGATTCACTGAGTTCAGCCGCCATGTGACCGGTGGTGCGGACGACAAGAACGCTGGACGATCGCAGATTGTGAAAGGCGTACGCCGCCTGAATCAGGCCACAGCCGATCATAGAAATGATGCCTGACCAACCGACCAAGTCGCCCACAATGTAGGAGAAGTAGCCAAGCAGCAAAACCACCAGGCCCTCCATGGAGCTGGGACAACGCGTGATGAAGCAGGTGAGCAAGCCAATTACAACACCGACGGCGAGGCCGCCCAGACTTACGGTGAAGAAGGAGACGAGTCCCAGGAGGATGTCCATACCTTCGATTTTCACCTTGCCCGCCAGCACCGACATTATCTCGTATAGCACCACAGTGACAGCATCGTTTAGCAGTGACTCTCCGAACACCATATAATATAGTCCCAGGTCAACTCCGATGTCACTGAAGATGGCGAGCACAGCGACAGGATCTACAGCCACAATTAGGGAGGCAAACAGCAAACAGGATTTCAAGTTGAGCTCCAGCTCGTCGATTCCAAGCACTGGCGATATCTGCACCAGATATAAAACTAGACCAATTATCATGAAATTGAGGATGGTTCCGACGACTGCATAAATTAAAATGGTGCCCAAAAATTCGGCAAAAACCCTATTATGAAGGGTGTAGGCAGAATCAAGAATGATTGGCGGCAAGAGGAGTTGAAAGAAGAGTTTCGGCGTCAGGTTCCAAGATTCGATGCTCAACCCATGACGGATGATTATTCCAAACATGAGTCCTATTACAATAAGGAGCAAAGATTCCGGGACCCACGACCGCAGGGGTCCAATGCGATGGTAGAGTATCTTCAGTAGAATAACCATCAGCACGAAGCTGATTATTGTGATGTGGACGGCGAACTCCTTTAGGTTCCACTGGGCCACGCGAATACTGGGCTCCTCGCGGGACTCGTACTGCAGCAGGCCTGTGCTGTTCACAGTGCTGCGAATTGATCTCATCAACATGGCGTCAGGATACAGGCATTCCGACGCCTGAGTCGGCTTGAGCTCTTCTGGCGGCGCGTAGGCCCAGGCGTGAAGGCATGCCTTCTGGCGGAGTGACCGCGGCTCAGGGCCTGTCCCACCGGTCAGGCTGGTCGCGGGCTTGCAAGTGGAGCCCAGCGGCGAGGGCGGGCGGATGGCCAAGTGGACCCGGGAGAATAGCCCTCAACCAGACGTAGGAATCCAGCAGAGCCGGGAGAGGTGGATCGATAAATGAGTTTCCTTAAATTATCTCCACTACTCATGAACAAGCAAAGCGCGCGAGGCATGCGACTTTGGGTGGAGAAAAAAGGACTACGCAACAGAATTGTGGGGTTGACTGGGCGGAGAGGGAGAGTTGGAGTATAAAACGGTGTCTACTCTTGGATTGTTTGGGTAGACAAACTAGCGGCTAGGAGATAGAGGGCAAATTTAGATTAAAACAGTCTCTATGCCGGCATCAGAATTTTAGCATGACCAAATCGCTCATGGAATAGGCCGGCATTTTTGGCTACTTCCGGCTTTTGCAGGCAGCATGCAAACGACAGTGAATTTCATGCTATTGAACTTTTTATGAGTTTCGCCTCTTCTATGAGACAGACATCGACAGTAGGCAACTAGATTTAAGGTAAATTTGCAAAACACCAAATCAACTATGGCGACCGGCCACAAGCCAAACAGCTTCTTTCAATCATGTCAAAGCACTTCATGATTTGGTTGGATACCTAATGCCGGTCCTACTATCATGTAAATAAGTAAAGTGGATGAGTGTGGCATAACAGCGTTTCCCCTAAAAAATGAGTAATTTGACAAGGCCATTTCTATATGTACCATATAGTTTGTGGTTGAACAGATGCTGCATCTTTGTTATCAGCATGGGTCAATTTAGATTTTTAGTCCTGACTAGACTAGAGGTAACCACGCTTACCGTTGCTCGAGGCTTCATCTTGCCCCATTCCTTAACATATCCAACAGCCTAAGGTTATCGCTGTTCGATTTGCTACACGCGTTCACTACAATCATGGCATTCCCTATTTGTTAGATTTCTAGTGAGTCCCTAATTGTTCGCTTAGCTAGCAAGGGAACATATCATGCAGAAAGTCGGGCTTTAGACAACTTTAATTGACTACTTGCAAAGTATAGCCCAACCTGGATATAAGAAACTTTTACGAGGCAAGGCTAAATGACATTCATCGAAATCCCGAGGCCCTCTTCTCACTTGTGACATGACTCCATTTCGAAGGAAAAGTCAACTGGAAGGAATTCGTGATGTGGTCTCATCGGAAACCGAAGGATTGCCACGTAGGGATGACTGTTAAATTGTGCGACAAATCCTTGCCTCACTGTCCCGCGACCCAAATAAAACGATGAGCCGATAACTTCTTCGCGCAATTCAACAGTCTTGTCTATGCGGCAATCTTGCTTCGGTTCGCGGTGAGACCATATCACGAATTCATTCAAACCAACTTTTCCTTCGAAATGGAAAGCCATGCCACACTATATCACTAAGGAATTCTTCAATATCCTGTTTCTCTTCATATTCTTATACTCATTTTACTATCGGATTTTCATAATCTATAGCGATATAAAGGGAACCCAGCTCTTATCAAATTTATTTGGCAAGATTTTGTACATAAATTGAATAATCTGTAGAGGCTTCTCTTCAATGGATTGCTGAAATTAACCTTTTAAGCCATAACAGATTTTGCGCCTAGAAAGTTGAACTTTAGTTCATTGAACTACTACATAACAATAGAGCCCGTGTGATCCATCTTATGCTTAATTAATTCTTATAAGATGTATTCACCCAATTTTATTTAAGGTGATGAAGGACTGGTAGAAGTAGAATTTTCCCACAAATGATATGAGTTGGGCTGACGTTTCCA